AGGAAGAAGAAAGTCTAAATGTAGAAGAAGAACCTGCACCCCCCAAAAATTTTACAGTGAAGCAAATGGCAAAGGCATTTGCTGCACTTAATAAGGGGATGCAAATGTTTGACGGAATGGATCAAAATGTTGAGCGTTTTGCCAAAGTTGACAGAATGGTCCAAGATGCACTTGCTTGCTACAGGGAGATTTATTATGAAAAGAAAAAGCAAACTGTGCAGTCTAAATTAGACATATATTTTAAGAAGTCCCATAATTGCTGTCTCCTCACACCCCACCAGTGCTGCCTCTTCACTCCCCAAAGATGATCCAATACCTTCAACCAGGAAGTTTCCCCTGTATATTAACCTGTCTGAAGAAAAAAGCGACATTGATGACCCACCCAGTCCTGTCTCCTCCTCTGCTTCATGCACTTATAGTAGTCTCCATGTATAATTAAAAAATTATGGGCGCCCCGTGTGCATTCAGCTGACTACATTAAAGGTAAGTGCACAGTAACATTGTATCCATTCTTCGTTATCGATTACTTTTACTGTACTGTATTTCATTTTAGATTTTATATGTATGATTTTTTGCATTTTCGACTTACGACCTGGATTTGGGTCCCTAACCCCATCGTAAGTCGGGGAGGAGCTGTAGTAAGAATGACATGGGTTTCCCAGACTAATCCATGTGTCATGGTTTTGGGGTGTATCCGTTGGTAGTAGGAGTGGATTATATTATATAAGATAATAATATGTCGTATTTCTTATTTCTTACCGTAGAGTCCGATACCTTCACACTGATTACTTACAGGAGATTATGGCGTATCTACGTAGAAGTTCACTCCACCACTCGACATTCCATGATTTATACTTGATAAATGATGATTTAATGAATTCATTTAATTTTCAACATCCATCTAAGTTATTGGTTATACTATGTCATAACCAATCAGTCATTACCTTTAGTAATAATAAGATAGGATCACAGATACGGGCAGATAATTGCACTTACATTTATTTGTCAAGCTTCCATACAATGATTTACAATTTGCATGGATATATGATTTACTCACGTTCACGCTGTAATAAAATTAATCTTCTAAAACAGGGAATTTCCAACTTGGGGACACATGTGATTACTCTACTGTGGTATGACTTAACAGAGCCTTAATTCTTCAAGTGATTCATTTACTGCCAGCCTGGATTGCTTTTGTTGCAACCAGGCTTCATCACAAGAACTTCTTCCCACGGCCATAACAACAAAAAGGTACTCTTGGGTTACCACACATAGTCTCGCGTCACTGACAGTCACTGTGGACGGTTGTCGCGGCAAGTAGAACTGGTAAGCGTGACTTGAATTAACCATTAGGTGCAATAGACCAGCCTGGATTGCTTTTGTCGCAACCAGGCTTCCACACGTGATATTTCCACGGGGATAACAAACCTAGGTTAACACACTTAGTCTCGTGTCGATCACGGTCACGGTAGACGGGTGTCGTGCAGGAGAACTCTGTAAGCGTGAATTAATTAACCATTTACTGTAGGTTTGATAGGCCAGCCTGGATTGCTCTTGTCGCAACCAGGCATCCACACGTGATATTTCCACGGGGATAACAACCTAGGTTAACACGCTGAGTCTCGTGTCGACGACGGTTCACAGGACGGAGTGCGGTGGAGGACTCTGTGTGGTGTGGTGTCCCGCCCCCCCTTCAGGAGGGAGAGAATGGAGACGACGTCCTAACTAACCCATGGCTCAGGGGGTACTACTTAAAATGAGGTTTTTGGGTGTGAAGCGATGAACAGTACAACACTGTTTCACTGCTCACCCCCCTAAAGGCTGGCTGACATACACTAATGAAAAATACATGTCCCAGTTATGCCTCGCCGGGCGTCTTATCTCTGGTAAAACAAACTTTGGAGTTGGTTGCGTAGGTAAGCCCGGTGTGAAGCGATGAACAGTACAACACTGTTTCACTGCCCACCCCCCTAAAGGCTGGCTAACATACACTAATGGAAAAATACATGTCCCAGTTACGCCTCGCCGGGCGTCTTATCTCTGGTAAAACAAACTTTGGAGTTGGTTGCGTGGGTAAGCCTAACGCAACCCATGACACCATGGTATAAGATATAACTAAAGCATGATAATAAATTGAGAGAAAAAAGATATAAATTTCCGAAAATACAATAATTGTCATGGTTTTGGGGTGGTTCGGTGGTAGTAGGAGTGGATTATATTATATAAAGATAATAATATGTCGTATTTCTTATTTCTTACCGTAGAGTCCGATACCTTCACACTGATTACTTACAGGAGATTATGGCGTATCTACGTAGAAGTTCACTCCACCACTCGACATTCCATGATTTATACTTGATAAATGATGATTTAATGAATTCATTTAATTTTCAACATCCATCTAAGTTATTGGTTGTACTATGTCATAACCAATCAGTCATTACCTTTAGTAATAATAAGATAGGATCACAGATACGGGCAGATAATTGCACTTACATTTATTTGTCAAGCTTCCATACAATGATTTACAATTTGCATAGATATATGATTTACTCACGTTCACGCTGTAATAAAATTAATCTTCTAAAACAGGGAATTTCCAACTTGGGGACACATGTGATTACTCTACTGTGGTATGACTTAACAGAGCCTTAATTCTTCAAGTGATACATTTACTGCCAGCCTGGATTGCTTTTATTGCAACCAGGCTTCATCACAAGAACTTCTTCCCACGGGCCACAGCAACAAAAAGTACTCTTGGGTTACCACACATGGTGTCGTGCAGGAGAACTCTGTAAGCGTGACTTGAATTAACCATCTAGGTGCAATAGACCAGCCTGGATTGCTTTTGTCGCAACCAGGCTTCCACACGTGATATTTCCACAGGGATAACAAGCCTAGGTTAACACACTTAGTCTCGTGTCGATCACGGTCACAGTAGACGGGTGTCGTGCAGGAGAACTCTGTAAGCGTGAATTAATTAACCATTTACTGTAGGTTTGATAGGCCAGCCTGGATTGCTTTTGTCGCAACCAGGCATCCACACGTAATATTTCCACGGGGATAACAACCTAGGTTAACACACTTAGTCTCGTGTCGACGACGGTTCACAGGACGGAGTGCGGTGGAGGACTCTGTGTGGCGTGGTGCCCCGCTCCCTTTCAGGAGGGAGAGTCAAGGCGACTTCTTCACTAACCCATGGCTCAGGGGATACTACTTAAAATGAGGTTTTTGGGTGTGAAGCGATGAACAGTACAACACCGTTTCACTGCCCACCCCCCTAAAGGCTGGCTAACATACACTAATGGAAAAATACATGTCCCAGTTATGCCTCGCCGGGCGTCTTATCTCTGGTAAAACAAACTTTGGAGTTGGTTGCGTGGGTAAGCCTAACGCAATCTATGACAATAATATATAAGAAAGAAGAAATAAATTATGGAAAAGAATATCGACTTAGAAAATATGGCATTACTGTATTTCCACACCCCACATTCCTACCACTAATCTATTATCATATTCGAATAAGACGTCTAATTATAAGACAATTTTCTTCTATTACATTACCGTCTCAATGTATAATAACGGAGATAGCGTATCCAAAATTTTCTCTATTTTCTTTCATTAATCTTCCGCCATTATCGCCTACCTCACCTCCCACACTGCGTGTCTCCTTCATAAATCATCACGCGCATGCGTACACGTCACGTGGTCAAACAGAACGTGTTTTTTTTTTTTTTTGCAACCAATTAAAATGATTTGTGGTTGAATTCATGGTATTTTTTGGCCCAATCAAATTTAATTTTTATTTTGGGTCTCATTTCGAAATTCAAATTCATTTCCAACCATGGAAGTCTGCGATGGGTGTCACTTCAATTATATGGAGCTGATTGCGAGTTTTGGGGGGAAAAACGAAGAAACTACAGGTATTGCATTTTTAGATCTCATGGTGTTCTCCCAACCTCAGTAGTGTGCCCTAAGTGCAAGAACGAATGTAAATGTCGTCAAGACCAACATACTGTATGTTGCATTGTGGTAACTCAGACGAACGAGAACCTGGCCAATAAGGTAAGAAATAAATGATTCCACCATATGGTGAGAGTCAGTTAAGTTAGGTCAGGTCAGGTTTATGTTTTTCTAGTGTTTTTTTTATTTATTTTGTATTCGCCTAGCCATTATTTTTTCAGAAAACGCCCCACCAAAAAAAAAAAAAAAAAAAAAAGGCCAACTTCCGACGGAAATGAATGTCATAACCGATTTAAACACATAAATACACTAGAAAAATATATTTTTGACTTTCTAACAGAGTTGGGTACACATACAAATTTACCGAAAATATAAGCAAAGAAATATAAGATAGACATTTATAGACCGAAAGACTTAAGAAAATAAGATTAATAGAAAATATAGATATGAAGCAAGTATTGAAGAATAAACAGAATAAGTATGAAATAAAAACTAGCCCCCTTACAGTCTAATAACCATACTGGACACCACCTAACAGTGGGCTGTGACCAAGGTAAGTAGATACCTACCTTGGCTGTGACTATGTTAGATCACAGGACAGAGTAAGTCACTTCTCAACTTGTGAAATGGACCTGTCCCGGACGACTCCGTTGACCTTGAATTGTTGCCACTTGTTATATTTGCTGATATCATTTAAGGTTATTGGTCATTTGGATCTCATATAAATGTATTTGGTTTCTCCCAAAGACTTTGGTTTCTCCTTCATATATGTATATGCCGCCCGCGTGTTGGTTGACTGTGAATTGAAATATCGTATAATTTACGTTACGAACATTTTCTGACAAACTCGTGTATTTTCTGACAAACTCGTGTATGTGTTGTATGTAATGTGAAGTTGAAATAATCATAAGAAAGTAGCGGATATACAATTTATTACTGTAAATGGTAATCTTGCACTGTATCGTGGGGCAAATAATTCGGCTTCCAGAGTTTCTATCATAAAAGCATTAACAAGAAAACTGCATATATAGACTTACATTTATTCAGCTGTATCTTCAAGACACTGTGAAGGGTTGTGGAATGTGGACTGGTGTTGTACACTAGCTGGACTCAGTTAGGAATGGTGCCTTTAACTATCTGCTCGCAGTGATCAGTCCAGCTCAAACTGCTGACTCTTTATTCACCATACTGTAAAGTGGACCTGTACAGGACGATCGCCCACGCCTTTCTATGCTGTTGCCAACTTCTGGTAATATGTTCTCATGCTCTATTTGGTATTATTTAATGTTTTTATACAAGTTAATCTCATATAAATGCATTCGTTATCTCATCCAAATTATTAAAAAAAATTACTCAGTATAGAGAGAATTACTTACCTCTATAATATCACAAAATTAGTTGAAATTATTGACTGTTATGGCATCTCCAATAGTGAAGGAGTACTTGAGTCAGCGGAGGGGAAGGGAACCCATGATGTTTGGCATAGTAACTGTGTATAACACCAAAGACAAAATATACACTGTACGTGTATTAGAAAATCAGACAACTAAGAAGGAGGATAAATATTTTTTAAAGAATAGGATTTGACAAAGGAAGGCTATAGGTAGGAAAATAAATCGTGGTGAAGTTTACCTTCAGATTATTATAAGGTATTGGCCAGTAAGACCTAGTTAAAAAAAGCAAAGAGGAATAATAAACTGAAGGAAGCAAGGGAAGCGAAGTCAAACCACAAGGGATTCTTTCAAATGTATCAAACTAAAACACGAAAAAAGATTGGTCCAATAGTCAGATACCGGCAAACTAACTGATAACGGCCGAGAAATGAGCAATAATCTGGATAAATATTTCTCTACAGTTTTCACCACCGAAAAATTAAATATGACACCCGAGGCACCAACTACGTATATACAGAGATAGTGAAGAAATAGATCATGCAAGATAGTAGTGACTAGTAACTATATTAGTAAGCAAATGGACAAACTAAAGCCTAATAAGTCACCATGTCACGATGAGATAGTTGCTAGAGTATTAAAGGAATGTAAGGAAGAGCTTAGTATGCCCTTAGCAAAGTTGTTTAACATGTCCCTAAAAACGGATGTAGTACCAGAATCCTGGACAGCGAATGTAATACCGATTTTCAAGAAGGGAGATAGATCACTATCCTCTAACTACCGTCCAATTAGTCTAACATCAATTGTAGGCAAATTACTGGAAGCAATCATTTCAAACTATTCGAAATCACCGGGAGAAGCACAAGTTGATCAATGATTCCCAACATGGCTTCACAAGCGGGCGATTATGTCTAACTAATCTATTAACATTCTTTTCATCTGTTTTTGAATCAGTGGACGAGGGGCACAATTATGATGTGGTACATCTCGATTTTAGCAAAGCCTTCGACAGAGTCCCACACGAAATACTAATAAGAAAAGTGGAGGCTCATGGCATTAAAGGAGGAGATATTCTAAAATGGATTAGGGTTTAGTTAGTTTAACAAATTTATTGACAAAGTTTGGAGTACAGTTTGCCTATTCTGAGTAATTCAGTCAGGTCTTGACACTGAGGGTATTATCACTTCTCACTGCCACGCAGGACAGAGGTTCATACACAAAGAAATACATCATAATTATTCATTAAGTGTACTGTATATATATATATATATATATATATATATATATATATATATATATATATATATATATATATATATATATGATTTTGCCGCTTGCAGCGGCTACTTTATTGTGCACCCCACACTCATCCTGTGAGCGGTAGCGCAAAAGGATTACAGAGTAGGGTTTACAAAGGGTCATAATAATTAACCCCCGTTGTCAGGATATTGTGGCACTGAATGTTACACATTATTTCATTTACATTATTTGTTTAGTTCTATACATAAAGGGTAACTTATTCACAAATGCGTGAGTACAGGCGTGTGAGGCAGTATGTCTGGCCTCACACTTTGTTATTCACATTTACGTGAGAGGTATTCAAGCACATTGCGTATTTGGTTCTGTACATGAGAATTGATATAGTTACTAAGTGCAAAAAAGTGGATACAATCTTAATATGTCGGCTATCTTGCCATTAGAGATGAAGTGTTGTGCCATTTCACACACAGTGTGCTTGGACCTGTCCCTAAAAGGTTCTATCTTCACACAGTCGAGGACGTAGTGTTCAAGTGTGTGGCCATATGTATGGCCACACACTTTACATTTAGTTTTGTTTACATCTGCTTGAGGAATATACTGCCAAAGGTACTTATATCCTAACCTTAATCTAGCGGTTACAACATCTTGTATCTTGTGATCTTGTTACTTGCTCCATATACATGTTTCACTTGATACATCTCATCATGGTAACCTATGGATCGACTAGTGCCTGTTTGCACTTGTCTACTTGCGTCAAACTCATCAATAAGTTCTTTCCTAATTACAGTTTTAAGTGTTCTTTTTGACAGACCCAAATTGTATTCAACGGTGTCTTTGTTAGACGCGAGTTTGGCGAGGGCATCAACTCTGTCATGTTTTATGAGGCCTATGTGAGAGGGGATCCACAACAGTTTGACCCTGACACCCCGGTCAACAAGGCACGCATATTTGTGTCTGGCTTCAGAGACAAGAGCGTGACAACCTGAGTCGAGGGTGCCAAGGGCAAGTAGTGAGGATAGAGAGTCAGTGATGATGAGACTGTCAGTAACAGTGGTTTCAATGAATTTAATAGCTGTGAGTATGGCAACTAATTCAGTTTGTAGAGTGGATGCCCAGTTGTTAATTCTAACTCCTTTCTCAATTATATTACCGTCAGGTTGAGTCACAACAATAGCACTTCCAGCCCTCCCACAGGCGGTGTTTAGAGATCCATCAGTGTAGATGGTCTGTGTAATATTATCATCAGTCTGTAGAGTGTGTATGTGTTCAAGAGCTCTCAATTTGACAGTGTGTTGGAGATAAATGCTTTGTATAATTAATTTTTTAGGCGGATACGTCGGTATTGTGATATCGAAGGGAACTGTCCGCCAGGGTGGCAGGAAGCGCTGTTGTGTCTCAACTTTATACAGGTGGTCTAGTCCAAACATCTTCATATGTGTAGCTGTAGTTTGGATCCATTTAGACTCAGTAGTCCCATGGTTCATACATTCTAGCAATTTTAAGGAAACAATGTCATCAGGATCACCACGCAGAAGCCTCAGGGCTATCATGAGGTTGACTTCAATTATTCTATCTTTAACACTGGGTATACCTAGTTCTTTCCTCATATTAAGTACTTTAGTGCTCTTGGGACATCCTAGGATAATTCTGAGGGCTTTATTTTGCATTTTCTCGAACTTGTCAACGCCTTTCCCGTCACGAATGACCAGGGCTGGTGCGTGGTAATCTATCAGAGATCTTATATAGCCTAGGTACATTGTTTTAACAATTCTAATATTAGCACCATAGTTCGGGCTGTACCCCGCTACACTTCTAAGAGGTCTCAGTCTGTCAGTACATTGGCGGGTTAGCTGTTGTATGGCAGGTAGGGTGCAAGGGACGGAAACACCAAGATATTTAAAAGAAGAAACATAGTCAATAGTGTTGTTACCTATCTTGAACTTGGCAGGGCCGCGTTTGCGGTTACCAGCTTGTTTGTTGAACACCTTAGTTTTGTCAGTGGAGATAATAAGACCGAGGTGTTCACAGGCTGCGTATACATGGTTCAGGGAGGTTTGCATTTCACGATGAGTTTTAGTATGTATAAGAATATCATCAGCATAGCTGATTGAGATATTGCTGGGGTTGTCTGGTATTAAATTTAATAATGCATTCATAAGAACATTGAACAAAGTGGGGCTAAGTACTCCACCTTGAGGGGTACCAAGTTGCATATCTTTAACTGACAAAGTTTGGAGTACAGTTTGCCTATTCTGAGTAATTCAGTCAGGTCTTGACACTGAGGGTATTATCACTTCTCACTGCCACGCAGGACAGAGGTTCATACACAAAGAAATACATCATAATTATTCATTAAGTGTACTGTGTATATATATATATATATATATATATATATATATATATATATATATATATATATATATATATATATATATATATATATATATGTGTGTGTGTGTGTGTGTGTGTGTGTGTGTGCAGGGCCGGTGCAAGATGATTTGGCGCCCTAGGCAAGCCTTTAGATGTGCGCCCCCTTGAAAGTTTTGATAAGCTAATGTAGGTACAGTAACCCATTACTACATTGTTTCTAACTCTCGAAACACCACTGATAACATAATTTTCATCTTGTGGCTTTATTACTTCATCCATGCAAATAACCAATTATTGTTATTACATTAAGTCAATAAATCCTTGACGTAAATGTCAATGAAACAATTTTTAGTTATTTTTTTTATTTTAGGGTAATCTTTAAAAAATAATAACATATAAGCATTTAGCTCGCTCCAGCCTCCTGCGAGTTATAACCTACTATTATTACATCATTATTATATACATGTAGTGCAAAATAAGATACTTGTGAGTTGTGACCAGTCATTGGTCGGACAATATATTAAATTGACATCTTAAGTATAAATAGAAAAAGCTTAATGGAGAGATGTAACAGTTATGAATGAAAATAATTGCAACTCTGACCAAGCCACATTAAAAAATTATATACATTTACGTCGTGTACAATAAGCGTTCACCCATTTTATATTTAATGATGTAAAAATTTTTGTAATACATTTGGTTTGTTTCTTGGTATTTGGTTTTGAGCTCCTATTGTACGCCATTACTACCTATATAAAACATATTAATTTGTTAGGTGAATTTTATTTAGTGTATGTGTTGAAATTACATTATATAGGAGCTTATTGTAGACGATATTATATGACAAACAAATAAGTATATAAATAAATAAGTCTTTTATTGTAATAAAAATTTAGTGGACAATTATTTGTAATGTTGACAATCGTGAAACTGGAGATTAGCTTTTACTGTAATGGATACATAACCAAATACATTCTACAAAACATATATCAAATTATTGTTGAAAAAAATACAATCACTAGTACACACTCACGCAGTACATACGTCCACTAGTACACATCGTAACACACGTATGATAAAACTTGACGAAATGACGAGAAGCACTAAGATTGAAACAAAGACTAGCTAAGGTATACAGCATTATAGACAGAGTACAAGATAAATCAAATAACTACATACTATAAAAATAATAAGACAGTTTCAACTTATTGTTTAGCAG